ACTTTCCATACAGCAGTTCACATACACTTTGTCTCATGACATTGACTACAATTTACCACAATGCAACAACTCTCCTCCCACTTCTTCCCCAAAGTTACCTCTTCCCTGTGTCCTTCCCTGCATGCATTCCTGCCCCATGAGCTGTCTCCCTGTGCATAAACAGCCCTTCTATTCTCCCATGATTGTTCTCTCCAAGGAGTGTATCTACCTGATGTAAATGTTCAGCTCATATGCCTGTCTTTTGTTTGGCTGGAAGCCACAGGAGTGGGTTCAATTCCAAACCTGAAGAACAGTTAGGGGCTGTAGTCTCAGGGGTTCTATCAGGCTCTGTCAGACCAGCAAACTGCTCCCTTTTTTAATTAATTTTTTTAATGATTTTGAGTTTTGTTCCACATTGTTCTCCCACTCCGTCCAGGATCTCTTACATAGATCCCACTTAGAGGACAGTGGTAACCAGGCACCATCTAGTTCTTATGGTCTCATAGTCTTATAGGCTGAGAATCGCAAGGTATACCAGTCGCTTGGACTAATTGTTTTCATGAATCTTTGGTTTTCTTCATCCTTCTTTGCTCTGGATGAGGAGAGATCCATCATTGCATCTAGATGGCTGCTTGCGAGCTTTTAAGATCCCAGTCACTACTCGCCAAAATAGGAGGTGGAACAATATTTTGTGTAGTATGTTATGCCAGTTGAGCTTAATGTCCCTGTGACTAGGGTCCCAAGCCCACAGGTCCAACTACTCGCTCCCCCTGGGTAGCTGTCTGTGGCCAAGAAGTGACTACAACCTTGTCTCTTGTCAGCTCTACTATACACCTGGGAATTCTTAAGGAACATAGCAATACACTTGTAGAAACATTGTCTGCCAACCCTATCCATGATCTTGAGCACACTCCCTCCAGCACAGACATACCTAATAGTTCAGCCTGTCTACCCATCTATCCACCTGTATATCCATGTTTGCCTTCACTGACAGCGCAGTACTCCATGTGCAGAAGGGTTCATCTTTGTCGTCTCTACCTCCCATGTACTTCTCTATGTCTTTCTCTTCTTCATGAATTACAATTTTTTGATACTAAATATGAAATTCCACACCAAATTGTTTATAGTTCATAATGCTATAATGCTATGTACTGATGGGAGCTCTGGTGGTATAGTGCCTAAGGCACTTGACTGCTAACCAGAAGGTTGGTGCTTCAAACCCACCAGCCACTGAAGGAAGGTTGGGCAATATACTTCCATAGCAATATCACCTCGGAAACCCAAGGAGGGGTCGCTGTGAGTCAGAGACCACTCAGTGGCACATAACAACAACAATGTACTGATAATGCAAAAAGTAGTGGAAACATTTGTTACTCTTTTTTGAAAAAATTGTGATTTAGGCAAAAGTGTAAATTGAATTTTCTATTCAACAGTTCATACACATTTTGTTTTGTGATATTCATTGCCATCCCCACAGTGTAACAACACTGTTGTCACTTCTTCCCTGTGTTTTAACATTTCCCTTCATCCTTCTTTCCTGTCACGTCCTACTCCATAGCTTTCTTCTGGGCATATGCTCCCCTTTCTCATGTGGTTAATTGTTCCAATGAATGCATATCTACCTGGTGTTATTGTTTCCCTCATGGATCTATCTATCATTTGACTGAAAGTTGCACCATGGCAGTGAGTTTAGTTCCCAGTTTGAAGGGTATCTCCAGGGTTCTACCAGTCTCTATCAGACCAATAAGCCTGGTCTTTTTTATGATCCTGAATTTTGTTCCATGTTTTTTTCCCCCACTGTATCCAGGACCTCCTATTGTGATCCCTCTCAGAGTGGTCAACGGTGGTGGTTCTTTTGGTCTCAAAGTCCTGGAGGCTGAGGTTTACATGGTTCATTAGTCCTTTACATCAGAGTTTGTAATTTGGCACCTCCTCTAGTACCATAGTGCCTAAGGCACTTGACTGCTAACCAGAAGGCTGGCGGTTCAAATCCACCAGCCACTCCTTGGAAGGAAGATGGGGCAATCTACTTTCGTAGTGATACTGCCTCAGAAACCCAAGGAGGGGTCACTATGAGTTGCGTCCAACTTGATGGCACATAACAACAACAAAAGTTAAAAATAGTAGGTAATACTAATGTAATAATGTGCTAAATAAAATCTCATTTTCAACATTTGTTAATATCTGGCTTTTATTTCGAGCTTTTTATTCGGAAAATTGCTTTTAAAGTTGGGGAGTAATAAAGGTAAATTTTCTTTTTCAGGCCAATAATAGGTCCTGCATTACCACCTGGTTTCATTAAATCTACCCAGAAAAGTGACAAAGGCAGAGATGATTCAGGACAAGTATCATCATATTTCAACTCTGAGGTTTGGAAAATTTTAGTTTAAAGAATAAAATGTAACAAACTTAAAACTTTATCTAGTAATAACTACAATCATTTGACTCAACTGTAATGGAAGACGTTGTATTCAGATTAATTTAGGATCGTAACGTAAATAGATGAAATGGAAAGCTGTCACAAACTGGAGATTCCATTAGAAAAATAACAGGGCAGTTACACTTTGACAGGATGTTATCTATGTATGCTTTTCATTTTTGATCACAATAGGTGGTCTAATACTTAAAGTGTTAGAAAATAAAACATGAGGAAAAGTTTAATGAATTTTTTAGATTTGACCAGGAGGAGAGAGAGCTGAAGAGCTTTTTAATAATAATCTTTATCTTGAAATTAACTACTCTCTCACCTAGCTGGTAACTGTGTGTAACATATACATGAATAAGTGATTTTATGAAAAGGTAGGTCAAGTAATTTTGGAGTAAAGTATGAAGACTATATTTCTAGTTAGAAGCCTGTTACTAGCTGAGATATGTAGAATATAATTTGTAATGCATTTCCTATGTGGATTTTATTTTTATCTTACCCACAGCATCATGAAATAGACATTACTCATATCTTAGATCACACAGTTTGTGCTTACTAAAACCAAGGATCAAAGCTAGTCCTTATGACTTTAGATTACCTGCTCTTCTGTTATAGTTCAGTGCTTTTCTGTATATGAATTTATAAAACCAAAGGACTTCTAAATTCTCCAGAGAATCCAGCAGTTGCTGAGGCTGTTATTGGAAGGAAACATGATGCAGTAGTTAAGATCAAACTACAGCATTCATTCTTTCAACAGATTTTTATAAAGGGCCTACTGTGTGTCTGGTATATAGTTACAGAAATGAATGTATCAACAAATTCCGTTGTCCCTACCTTCGAAGAACATCTAGTATGCAGTCAATTCTGTTCCTGCCTTGGTCATACTAACCATCATATTTCACTGGCTTTATTGGTCTTCATACTCTAGAAAAAGAGTAATAGAAACTTTTAGCCCTCTGTCCTAGGAAAATGGCAAGGAAGCTTGCTTCAGTCTAGGGCTCTTCATGCTATCTGCAACCCACTTTTGGATAGTTTGGGGCAATGAGGTGGAGCGGGCTGGGGTGGAACAGAAGAAACAGAATGTGGTCAAATGTTTTTGGGTAATGGTATCTGAGTATTCATTGTACTAGTTATAATGTCTTAGCACTTTTCTAGAGTTTTCAAATTTTTTCAAAATAAAAACTTGAAAAAAAATTAAAAAGATAGAGAGCAAAATCCAACTTTATTCATACTTGGAGCTTTGTCTTAATCTACTTAGTTAGCCAATATGTTGTTGATGTAATTCCCTGAGTAGCAGATTTTTTACATTCTCTAGATTTTCTTAGCTAAAGATTGGGGGTAAAGGTGGGAAAAGAATTACACTGTAGTATATCTGTTTGAGGTACTATCTGTTCTGAATTACTTGCTTTGTATTTTCCCTTTTAACTAATTTTCTTTAAAAGACATTTCTAGTTTTGTTTTTATATTTTTCTTTCTCAGAGAAGGGTTTCTCTTAGTCTCATTCACAACATATACACACAAAGTAGGACATACCCAATAATACTAATGATTAACATTTGTTGAGCACTTATTGTGAGCTAGGCATTACAAGCATGTTACCTGCATAAACTATCCAAACCGTTCTGGGAGGTGGTTTATCACCTAGGATTTTTTCAGCTGCAGATAACAGAAGATCAAATGGAACTTTGTCCTAACCTACTTAGTTAACAAATGAGTTGTTGATGTAATGCCGTTGGTGTATATACTCTTTATATAAGGAGGATATTTTCAAAGCATATAATATGAGGTTTGGAGGTATGGTTATTCCAGGGTTGATTAATTCAGCAGCCTGCTGGCATCACCAAGTGCTCAGGTTCTTTTCACCTTTTTTCTCTGTCACCTACTGCATATTCATTTGTCCTTTTAGACTAGCTTCCTTCATTATACCAAGAAGGCTGCCAAAGTTCTAAGATTCATAGAGAAATGGGAAATGTCCAGACACAGGAAGAAGAACAGTTCCTACCCTATGCCCCTTTATTAGAGCAAGGAAGATCTTGCTAGAAGGTTTCCTGTACAGCACCCTTCATGTCTCTTTGACCAAAATTGGATCATATGCCCTCTTCCAAGCCACCCAGTTGGGCAAGAGGAATGAGACCAAAGTACATGGCTTAGAACTATCAACATTCTTTCCCAGGAGTTAGAGAAGCTTCCCAGTCTCATTAGAAGGGCATGGCTTCAAAGAGGATGAACAAAATTCATGGTCATCCTAGTGAAACAGGAGTTATTGGTTGAGGCTGTTATCAGTCCTATTTAAGAAACAAGGAAAACCAAGTCTTAGAACCATGCCTCTGGACACAGGGTAATATGATGACAGATTGAAGGCTTGAAACTACTTGTAACTCTGCAGCCCAAATTGAACTAGTAGAGTACATGATTTCCATCGTGTTTTGAAGAAAGAATGAAATCATATTTAAATAAAATTTTAAAAAGTACCTTGTCCAGAACACAAAATGATTTAATACCTAGAATTTAATACCTATATTTTGGCTTCTCATTTTTAGTTTGGTGTGTTGGGCCTAGTTTTCTGTTTTCTTTTCCATCCTCCAGTTTAGTTTGTCATTCAACGTCCTAAGTGATCTTTACGTAGCATAGTGCCTAAGGCACTTGACTGCTAACTGGAAGGCTGGTGGTTCAAACCCACCAGCCACTCCTCAGAAGGAAGGTTGGGCAATCTGCTTCCTTAGTGATACTGGCTTGGAAACCCAAGGAGGGGTCACTATGAGTTGGGTCCAACTCGATGGCATATAACAACAACAACAAGTGATCTTTATTTATAAAAATTTTAGACATCATCCTACCAAGGTGTGCTGAACTTCTACCTTCATAAAAAAACAGCTGTTACTAAATGAAAGTGAAAATAACATTAGCATATTTCATCCTCCGAAACCTTAATACCATACTGATACTAGGTTTCTTATAGTTTAAAAAATTTATATATCCTTTATATCTTACCAGTTTATTTCACTGTCTATTTGTTGTTGTTAGTTGCTATTGAGTTAATTCTGACTCATAGCTGTATGCAGAGTAGAATTGCTCCACTCCACAGGGCTTTAAACTGTGAACTTTTTGGAAAGATCGCTAGGCCTGTCTTCCAAGGTGCCTGGGGATGAGGGGGGTTGAACTGCCAGCCTTAAGCTAGTTGTTCAACCTTTCTAAATACGCTTTTCTAAACTTCAGCCCCAGGGTTACAGGTGAGGAGAGACAACTCAGGGGCGCCCGAAGTAGCAAGCGGGAAGAGCAGGAGAAAGGGGATTAAAAGCCAGGAAGCCTGAGACAAGAGCAGTCAGCCGAAGGGATTAGGTGAGGAGAGGAAACTCAGGCCCGCCCAAAGTAGCAGGACCGGAGAGCAGGAGAAAGGGGATAAAAGCCCAGATCCTGGACAGAGGAGCAGTCAGCCCCAGGGACAACTCAGGGATGCACAAAACAGCAGGGCAGAAGAGCAGGAGAAAGGGGATTAAAAGCCAGGAA